TTTCGCAAAGGCTCCCTTCGGAAAGCTAACGTAAATTCATGAATAATGAAAATAGAAGGCAAGGAGAATAATATCCTTAGAATCCTGTCGACGACGCGACGCGCGAAAACTATGCGGGATTCGCCGCCAGGATATCCTCTTTGAAGTAACCCGTGTGTATATGTGCGTGTGTGCGTGTACACGTGCATAACATAAACAATAACACGCGTACCGTTCATTTATTTAACGAACGATCCTGATAAACTGGAATATCCCGCGGGCATCCCGCGCGAAATCTGATAAAAAGGAAAGCGGCCCGGGCTAAGGCGATTTTTTACGATTCTTTGATTTTTGCCACGGCGAGATGTGTCGCGGCGTCGAAATATTCATGGCCGCCGGACCGGCTCACATAATCCCCCGTCTCGTTCGAGCCGGGTTGTTGAAAAAAATGTGTGCGGCTATCCGGCTAATTCGGAACAATCTCGTGAGAAGAAACGAGACGGAGAAGCCGAATGCGCAGGGGGAATACCGGTAGGCCGTTTCTCGCAGGACGAACGGAACGGCCGGGGCCGTGCCGAGAGGCGAGGAGACGCGCGAGAATCGCGGGAATAAAGTGAAGTGTGAGGATCGGCAACTAAACGCCCCATTACAAGCCCTCGCATTTCTTCCACCGTCGATTCACGCGCACCGCCAAAAATCCACACGTTTTCTCGTCCGCGCGCCACCATAATCCCGCCGAGGCCGATCGCGAGGCTCAGCGGCCGAGGAATCAAGAGAGAGAGAGAGAGAGAAAGAAGGAAGAAAGGGGCAAAAAAAAGGGCGACGAGCTATCCGGCAAATTCGAAACGATCTCACGACACGGAGAAGACATGGAAGACGTGGAGGATGAGCACGGCAGCAACGGCAGCATATCAGGCAGCACAGGTGGAATCTGGTATCTGGCTCTCTCAGAGAGCTCGGACGGGACAGTCGGGGGGATGGGAAGCGGGCAAAGGGGGGTCCGGGGGCAGAGAGGGGAGGGGACCGCACCTAAACACCCTTGCGTGTACGCTCGCTCGCTCGGCCGTCCGCTCGCGCGTTTTCCTCATCCACCGGGGGAACGCGTGTGCGTTTCACCTCGTCTTTGCTCCCTCGCGAGACTCCCCGAGTCCTCGTTCCTCCCGCCTCCCCCTTGCGTCTCTGTAATAATGTGCTCACATATTGGAGTACCTGCGGAGCACCGAGGGGGGCAGTGCGGTGGGGGAGAGGAGCATAGGGAACGGCGCTTGGTAGAAAGAGGGGCTGCGAGGGGGAGAATCCGGTGGACCTCGAGGTAGACCGTACCCCGTATACATACGAGCTGGACTCGCGGATGTGTGAGTGAAACGTGCCTACATGCCCACCGGCGGTAATAAGAGAAAATAAGTAAAACCCTAAGGTACGAACACCGGAGGGGGCATAGGGCGGGTTGCACTGCGGCGAGGGGGTGAGGGGAGGGAGAAAGAGAGAGAGGGAGAGAGAGAGAGAGCGAGAAGATGGAAGAAGAGAGGTGAAGAGAGGCAGAGAAGGAGGTGAACCTGTTCCCGAGGGAGTTCCTTGACCCTCGGGGGGCACACTCTCTTGTGAGCTTTCGAGAGACGCGAGAAGCCAGCGGAGTAGCCACCATAATGCCCGTCGGCTAACTCGGAGCCCTCGAGTGAGCGAGTCCTCCGAGACGATGAGGAGAGAGAGAAGAAGAAGAAGAGGAGAGAGAGCGCATTCGCGAGCGAGCACCGGAGAGCGAGAGTGACAGCGATATAGCTGGTAGTAAGGAGAGGACGAAGGACAGCGGCACGGAACGGAATGAGAGGACGGGAGATAAAGAAGGATAGACGGAAATGCGGGAGACTGCAACGTACGAGAGCGAGGGAGAAAGAGAGAAAGACGAAGACCGTGGACCAGGCAGCATCACCGCGCAGCATCCCACTACCGATGTCCGTCCATCCGCCCGTGTGGACCATGGTACGTACACTATACTGCTACGCTACCACACCGGGTTCGTCGTCAGATCCAAGACTGCCGCTGAAGAGAGAGAAAGAGAGAAGGATAGAATATAGCCGCGCGCCGTGTTGCGCTGTACCATCCGTTACAGGCTCTTTCAGCCGAGGTGAGCCTCGCCATTGTAATGACTCTGCGAATCAGGGCTGACGCGATAGCGTCCTGAAATTTCATTTCGAAGATTAGGGCCCGTACCACGGGCCCCATCGTCCCTTGCCTCACGAATATTCCTATTAGGCCCCGTGCATCTTCTTATCGCGCATCGTGAAATTGACGCGTATAGCGACGTTCACCTGTTTTGCAGAAGGGACATCCGGTGAGTCAGTAACGGCCCGGCCGAATTTTTACTTTAATAATAAAGAGAACTTCTCATACCTCGGGGCGGATCGCGAAATGATCCGGGAACGCTGGAGTAACGTAATATAAAAGTCGTTATTTCGCTTCGTCGCGACGATAACCGTTCTCGATGACGGAAATATTCGCGACTGGAAGGAGTTACGCGCGAATATCGCGACGTGACGATTTTTTATTGAACGGCAACGGCCCTCGAGGAAGGATAACCGTCCGATCTGCCGCGAAAGAATTGTTAATCCGCACGATTATAATTTTCCGATTATCGGACGTCGTATCGCGTAAATGCGACATGCACATCGTTATTATGTAGTTCCTGAAAGGAGATCAGCAAAGGAGGTTTCTCATTGCGCCGATAATTTATAGCCGTTTAACCGCTCGGCTCCTCAGTTCGCACGATACTCCGACACGCGAATTACGTGGAACGGTATATATGTATGTATATAGGGCAGAAATTCAATGACGATCCACGATGCGGCGATGGCATCTCTTTCTCTCTCTCTCTCTTTCTCGCGAGCAAACGTAGCCCGCTAGCCACATAATGACGGTGGACACGCGACAGGACTTATCCATTATTCATCGTCCGAAATCATTCTTCGCGAATATATATAATTTCGTCCTGCTACAGCCGGGAGAGAGCCTACCGGGAACTCCTCGTCGTTCGGCCCGATATACACACACCGAGCTCGATACGACGATTATTAGCGACATTTAAACGCTTTTTTGTCTCCGTGCGAGCGGACAGCTAATTTACGAAGAGCGGCCTATCGGACACTTTGTAAATCCCTGAATTTAATGTGTCCAATCATCGGCGATCCTTTTGCCGCTCTTCTCTCTCGTTGCTTAAATTGGGACACGAAACGTTAATGACGAGACGTCAGGCATCAACCCTTCCAGCACAAGGGAGCGATTTCGTTATCTCCGCGCGATTCTACCGACGCAAATTTAACGCTGAGAAAATAATCTCTATCAATGGCTCTCGTCTGATTCTCGCTTATTATCTCGACTTTTATTTCTCATCTTTTTTATTCACATCACTTCAGCTCAAACCGATTCTTATTATTCCCATAATTCTATTATATCGAGCATCATATATTCAATACATTCACTACGCCTCTAATTAATTAATCGATTCGCGCGTAATCCCAATATTATTTTGTGCGAATGACAAATTAACTGCGTACTTCGCCGTGCTATCAGTTCTGTCAGGATAGGCGAAAGAAAGATCTATGTCCAGAAAGTTAACAGACCACGCGTGCACCGCGCTGCTGCGTAAAATTCGCGTGATCGAATCGACGTTCGTCGATGCGCGACGGCCGTCTCGCCCGCGGTCAATCAACGAAATTCATATCAGCCAGCGGCGCAATCCGCGGCTTGACGATGCCTTCGCGACCGCAACTCCCCGAGGAGCGGCCCCGCGAAATTCACATCTCGAACGGCGGTCACGGAGCACGCCTAGCCTCGCGTTCTCGCCTCGATCGCATTCGAGAGAGGTGAGAACACACAACCGCGGCGTTACCGACTCGCTCGTGATGAAACCGATTGTAAGACCGTATATAAGTAAGCGCGTTCGCTCGCTCGTGTTCGGCCGGGCACCAGCATCCACGAGGGGCACAAGTGTACGTCGTGTAATGCCTCTCATAGAGAGGCAGGAGAGAGCAAAGAGAGCCCTCGAGATGTGCGCGACACGCACACAGCCGCGGAGCGTGATCGCGAGGCCCGATGTACACGCACGTGCGCTGGATTCACGCGCGCGCACGCGAGGTGGACGTACGAGAGGATAAGAGAGACGTACAGAGACCGTGGAAGAGTGGAAAAGAGACAGAGAGAGAGAGAGATGTCGGCGAACGTGTGTAAAGTGGCAATGCGATGCGGGAGGAGAGAAAGAGAAAAGAAGAGAGGGAGAGAGAGAGGACCCGGTGAGGATGCGAGGCTTGGAGCGGAGCACGCGGGGTGAACGTAAGGGGGTCCTCCGTGCTCCCGGAGGTGGAATGACTGGGGAAGGGGTCAGAACGAATGAGGGGGCCGACGAAGAGCGGGGGAGGGGGGGACAGGCCGTGGTGGACGGGGGGAGGCCCGCAGGCCGGCCCGCGGCTCCGACTCAGTATCCCCGGAGCGACCGAGTAGTGTACCCCGTGGAGGTTGCTGCGTTTTCGCACTCCAGCGTGCGCGCACGATAGTGAGACACAGTAGTACACGCGCGCGCACACATCTATACATACGTATGCACATGTGTACACACACGCGACACACACGTACGCGCAGATACGTGTATACACACGCCGGCTAGCCCGGGCAGCGTGCGTGCACCACGTACACCAGGACGCGCGATACGTCCGCATACGACGCCGGGACACGTGCACACACCTGTTCCTTCCGAGCCGTGCATTCCCGCGCGAAACACGCGTCGTCCGAGTAATCGCGTGTGCGTGAGCAGTGTCACTTTGTCTCTCTCTCTCTCTCTCTCTCTCTCTTCGCGGTGCCGAGGGATTTCTTTCTCACACGAGGGTCGCGAGGGAATCGATCGTCGCAGGAGGGACGCATTCATACGGAAGATCGGCGCGCGACTTTCGGTTCTCGCTACGATCTCTTCGCGTCGAGCAAACAGTCGGTGCGAGTGGATAATTAACCAATAATCCGTTGTTACCTGACAGAGTCCCGAATTGCCGCCGCCATGTTCGTCCCCCGCAATACGCGTCAGACCGAGTAGTGAGCCGGCCGGCGGGGAGGAGCGGCCGATCGAAACACCACCCTAGGCGAGCCGATTCCCGAGCTCCACCCGGACCACCGGAGACTATCTCGTCGGCAACAGTGGAACACGTGCGCTGGACGACATCGCGCGTCGAGGAAAGCAGGTGCCGTGCGGGCTTTCTCGCGCGCGCGCGCGCGCGATCGCTTTCTCCGACGAATTCGGAGCCGGCGTGAACTCAGCCGCGAATCGCGCGCTTAGCTTCGATTAGTCTCGCGCGCGCGCGCCATACCGGTATCGAGCGTAGCGATAGAAAATGGCGAACGAGTGAGAATCGCGAGAGGAGGTGTGTGCGCGGGCGGAGGTGAGCGAAGAAGAAGACGGGGATCTCGTATTCTCGCGGCGATATCGCCGATAGCCGCTCGCAGCGGCGATCGAGGGAAAGGTACCTGTCCGCGACGCGAGAGCGCACCCGAGACGCCTCACCTGCCTCCCGTTCCGCGTCCTCCTCACGACGCGTCGCGTTCGCCTCTCCGCTCGTTCTCTCTCTCTCTCTCTCGCATCTGCCCCTCGCGTCGGACTCGATCGTGCCGGATGACCCGGGCGAGAAACCGCGGACAACAACGGTGAGGCGCGCGCGCGCGGGCGCGTGCTCGCGCGAAACCTCCCCCGAGTGTTGACGAGTGTTGAGTGTTCGACGGAAGGGGGTCTCATCTCGACGAGCAGTGGAGCGATTTTAATTCGGTGGTGGTGCGCGGACCGAGAGGGAAGATCAGCTAAGTGCAGTGCGCCGATCGTTCGGGAATATCGTCGACCGATCATAATTCGTTGGTAATTCGGTGAGAGTGGTGAGAGCGACGGATACGCGCGGCGGGAGTGCTCGACGGCCGAGGAACAGCGGCAACGGGGATCGGTGATATGCGGTAGTCGCGGGAATTCCCCAGGGAGAGACATGAGGACGGCCGCCGCCTACGTCCTGTTCCTTGCCCACCTCATACAGGTAAGCGCCGCTATCTTGCGTTCCGCTCCTGGCGAGCCAGGGTGGTGTCCTCTTAGCGAGGCGGGGAAGATCGGCGGGAATGGAATTCATCGGCCGATAACCGACCGCTTTTAGGCTCGCCGCTCGTTTGAGTGCAAACGAGTCGGTCAAAATGAACAGGTAGAACAAACCGTGTTTTGTCGTTGAATTTTGCACAGGCAAAATGAAGTCGGCGTCCTTCGGTATTTTGTTGAAAGTAAAACTACGGAGAAAAAAGTTTGCTTTTGTTAACCGGAAAGAGGGGACAACCAGATGTATTTTTGAAGGAAATGGAATGTCCGGTTATAAAAAGCAGAAGTTCTGTTTCCGTCAATTATCTGCTTGTTCTCTTTCTAGTTGATGCGATCATATTTTTTCCGTGCGGATATCGTCGGGGAGATTATGCGATATTGTTGATTCTATTCTCGAAAAATTCGTCGCCCACGCCTGTTTATCGCGATCTACTCTGCAAAGCACAGATGTAGAATAGATCATATATCGCTCGGCGAATCGACGGTCTTTAATCGTCGGTGACGTAAGTACGGGAGAATATGACGTATTTTTCGCACGTATCTCCGGGGACGTTTCCGCTTGTGTTAGAACAAGCTGTACGTCGCTGTACGCAGTCTGGTAACGTCGCTACTCGCGGTATCTTTCACTTCGGGCATTTAAGCCGGCATTTAAGAGCCGTAAAAAGCACAGTATGCGAGAAGATCGCGGTACTATTTATACTCGCACGATCGGCGCGCACTTTTCAGCCCCTCGCGCGTTTCCGCGGTCGTCGAGGCGCAGCTCGGCCGTGTTCAACATCCGTAACGCAAGTCACGTCGGATCATTTGCTGGGAACGGAGTCGCAAATTTCGCGCGACAGGTCCAGCGAAAAATGTCTCGTTCCTTCGCCCCGACACGCCAATAACGAGTGAGATCGGGAAAAAGTGCAATGCGGCGGTACGACGGGTATTCGAACAGGTGATGCAAGCACACATCGGAGCAGCCTGGGGCATGTGCCGTTCGCAAAAATATACAGTTGCGACAAGAGAGATCATTACGATACATTCGTGAGCGGCTGTGAACTCGAGTTTTTTTCTTTAAATATTACATATACTATCGAGGAGGCATTTCAGCTCGCGGCAAGTGCCGTAACTTGCGCGAGTAAACACCTTTATTTGCCGATAGATGCAATAATCCGTATGCCTGAGAAAAAAGTCAATAATTGCTTCTCAAAAGTGAAGCTGCGACGATATACATACACCGAAAGGCTTTAGACGTCGCATCATATATTTCATTATTGGTCTGTCGGATGAGAAAATTGCCTCGAAGGCGAGACAGTACACGGATTTCTCGCTTGAGTCGTATATAACCGAGAAGATCGAGTTCATCCGGGGTATCCAACTAGGTTATTTCTGAATATTTGTGCATCATGACTGGTTGATAATTTGACGAATCGGCGATGATTCTCGAAAGCAGTAGTCATGATGCTCAAATAATACCTCTGATTGGAAATTTCCGATGTCGCCATGCCTCGGGAATGGGCGTTTGCACGTATCCTTACTGTCTAGAAACAATAACGTGGCACAGAAATCGCCCGTTGATCGATTAGAGCGCTGGTGCGCTATCGATATAATTCGAAGGAGATTTAGCATCCGTGCGACGCTATCACGTGTCGAGCGTTAATATTCGCGAGATATCGCGGAGTAAGAGACTGCGCACGGCCGGCTATTTCCATACCAGTCTCTCGACTATTTATTACAGATCGCGCCGCGATCTCATTGAAATAACGCTGTGGCTCCTTGCGAGCGCGGAGTTTGCCGCTCGTTGCATCATCGCGCAAGGTGCCGTCGTGCGTGATGCAGCATCTACGGCGCGAGGCTGTTCTCACGTATGCGTTTCGATCTCGCGGTCTTCCGCCTCGGAGAACGATCGATCGATGTTGCGGAGTTACGCGCGGAAATAATGCAAGAAGAAGAGAGAAAGATGTTCGATATCGGCGATCATCGTGTTGGTGCAACTGTTAATCACGCAGTCGACCGCGGCTGAGCTTTTAACCGATAATATATGCATATATATTTAAATATATACGCGTGTACTGTGTTTATATTATTAGAACGCTCATTTAAATGCGCATTTTCATTTGAAGCACATTAAATTACATTACAATTCCGCAGCTTCAACGGCCCTTGTTTTGATCGTGAGAAACTTTTCGCGAATTCGTCGGGGGCTAAAGTCGCGCGCTCAACGATTATCGATAATCCCCTCAGAGATGAGATAACGAAACACTCTCGTGGCGACGATAGACACGCCGCGAGATTTTTGTCACTCTTGTTAGACGTGCACCGGTAAAGCCGGCTTTTGCATAACGCATGCGCGCGCGCGCGCGGCTTATTCGTTACCACGTCTTAATTGACATCGAAACGATCCGTCGATGCACGTCGTAACACGTGTCGACGTTTGGAAATGAGCTGGAAGGCCGCGTTAATTAATTAGAGAGATTAATGCGTCCGGCAAGAACGTGTTCGCCTCGGTGCGTCGACGGTGTAAAAACCGATTATATGTATTAATCGCACACATTAAGACAAATCAGTAGCAAACTGCTGTAAAGTGGAGCGATTAGATAAGTAGCGGCGAACGCTAGCACGCGATGATTCATTCGACGCGGCTTATTAAGTTATCCATGCCCTTAGATATTGACGAGATAGGGAACCTCCCTCGTCGCGTCGTCTCTGCCGCGACGTTTACTCCGAAAGGAAATGGTCGGACGTGTCCCCGGACGCGAAAAACGCAGCTGCTCGCCCATAAAATTCTCGTGAGTGGCGACTCGCGCGTCGTAAATAGCCACCTCTTGTAAATTCGCACAACGTCGTACTTTCGCGCGTCGAATCGTCCGATGATTGGGCAACTCCGCGAAAATGGACCGGCCATTTGCGAAGTAGGGAAAATGACTGTCGTGCGTGTATCGAAGAGCGAGAAAGGGGGTGGGGGGGAGGGGGGGGGGATCAACAGCCGAGAGAAAATGCGTGACTATTGACACACTTTGTGTGGACGCGCGGCGTGACGCGATTGTACGGTTGGAAATGTAATCGAGTTTCATCACAGCAAAAACCCTCTGGTCTGTCCGAGTTCCGTTCGTTAGATAACGATCTTCACGATCGGAATTTGCTTTTAATTAATCAGCGCGTCGACGCGACACACTCCGCGCACGCTGTCCTCGTCATTGTTGTTTTTCCACGTTCTCATCCGTTTTTTGTCCGCCGGACGGCCACCGTCTCTCGTAACTCGCGGCTATCCCGCGAGTTGCACAAGGATAGGGGAGGGCGGTGCTACATCCTTCTCCTTGTTCTCAGCCCGGAGATACATACTACTTACCGTGTAAGTACGGCTTTTTTTTGCGGATGTTGCCCCGTCACTCGCGCTTTGTAATTTTCTTGCTGCCTCTCTCCTCCCGTATCGCGCGTTCTCGCGGCCGGCATCGGCCAGAAATGACAATGCGACGCCCGGTGGTTGTCGTCGTCGTCGCCTGAATCCGAAACCGCCGTCCGGCGAGTCGTTACCGTGAAGTCTACTCGCGGTACTTGCTCGCGCGCGTACTTGGTACGAACGAAGCAACCTCGAAAAAAAAAGTGGTGCTCTCGAGGCGAATACGGTTCGTGCTTTATCTGCTGATCGCTTATCACCATTATATTGCGCGTAAGAATGCATGTTAATATCGCAATTAACGTCGGAGTACCGCATAGATGTGTTGTTTCTCTTCGCATGAATTACAATATAATTGTTCAGCCATTCAGCGTGCCGGAAGCGCGCCGATACAGCGCGGAATCTTAGTGTCCTATTGTTAGCCGCGGTGACGTGCCTGCGAACAGTCGGGAACAGTATTAATCCATTAAAGACCATTAAATTTTCGATGCTCCGCGCCGTGAACTTCGAACGGTACAACGAAGTAACGAACTTCCGAGAAGGTCCCGAAACATATTGCACACGCGAACGTTTTATAATATGTACTTCTGAAAAAGAGATAGGCAGTGAGAGATAGATAGATAGATAGATAGAGAGAGAGAGAGAGAGAGAGAGAGAGACGGGAAGGCAAAAGGTGTATTAAAATTAAAACGATCACAGCTCGTCCTTTGGCCGTCCCGCCGTTCCGTAATACCTCTCGGCAAAATAACTGAGATCACGCGAAAATGATTAAATTATAAATATCAAATGTAAATTGCCGGGTTAAAGTACGGATGCGCGCGCGCGCGCGTGTGTGTGTGTGTGTGTGTCCGTTCACCGAGGAGGCAAATCCACGCTTCCGTAACGATCGACAATTTCGGTCCAACCCGGCGAATAATGGGAGCTTAGGAGCCGTAGCGTTGCCTCGCCGACCCGGAGTTACCGGGGGTCACCTCTCTTGGGCCTCTCTCTTATAAACGACTTTCGAAGAACGGCCGCGGCCGTAGAGAAGAGGGTTCCCGCGCCGTCGTTCCCTCGATGATTTCGACCTAGTGCAATTAAGCGCCGCCGCCGCCGCCGTTGCTGCTGTTACTGCCGCCGCTGTTGCTCTCTTTCAATTACAGTCCGAGCGGAATTACCGTTATAACGCGCGCGATGCCTCCGTGCGAACGAGCTACGAAAAAAAGTTGCCCGAAAGTGTACCGGTGAAGCGCACTCCGAATTCTTATATATCTGTGTGTGTGTCTTCCATTCGGACTGTTATCTTCCGCGTTCGAAGTCTCATCTTTGTTTTAACTCGAAAAAGCGTCCGCGACAGCGGCGGCAGCGTGAAAATTCGAGGGAGCGAGAAAAGGTGATACCGAGAAAAGGAGGGGGAGAGAGAAAGAGAGAGGGAGAAAACGCGATCGTGAGAAAGAGAGTTTTATCGCTCGCAGCGCGTTCCTCACGCGCGTCTCCCGTCGTAATTTGCAAAGCGATTACTCTCGCGCGCGATTTCTTGCGCGATTCCCGACCTTCCGCGCAGCTGACGCTTCCTTCGACCACGGCGGCGA